TTGCAAATTGGGCTTGGATGCCCTAACAGGTCCTAACTGGACAGGAGGTTGCGCACACAGGTGAGGCCTGGAGCAGAGACGGAGACAGAGTCAGGGGGGCCAGTGAGCCACCGTGCCCCGGCTTGGGCCAGCCCCCTGGAGCCGAAGAGGACACGGACAGGGACAGGGCGACAGCCCGCAGCCTCTGCGGCCTAGCACAGGCCCAGAGAGGAGACAGCGGGCCCACCTCCCGCGGAAGCTGCACAGTTCCTGTGGAAGCGGCGTGGATCCCAGCGGCACGGCTCCCGTGGAAGCGGCAGGCAGCCTACTGCCTGCGACAGCGCGTGATGGGCTACTAGTTTGTTAATAATTAGGCAAGGCTAAGGCCTTGGACGACTTACTTCAACAGCTCTCACGGGTGGATGCATTTGTTTATTCCCTGCAGAAAACCAGGACTAGCTGCGCTGTGCAGGACGCACTGCTTTTCTTCTTACGGTTTTCTGTTTTAATATCTGAGGGCGCAACTAGCCCCTTCATTATTTTTTCTTGATTATTTTTACCACTTCATGTTTTTCAGATAAACTTTAGTATCATATTTGTCTAGTGACCTCATGTCAATGAATAACATTACATTTATGTGGTAATTTTAGGAAGAGCTAGCCGCTTTATAACATTGGGTCTTAATGACTGAGACCATTACTTTTTTAAAAAATAAATCTGTTTTTAAAATGTATTTTTATTGATTTCAGAATGGAAGGGAGAGGGAGCTAGAAATATCAATGACGAGAGAGAATCATTGATCCACTCACTACCTTTGGCATGTCCCTGACTGGGGATCGAGCCTGCAATCCGGATATGTGCCCCGACCAGGAATTGAACTGTGACCTCCTGGTTCATAGGCCGATGCTCAACTACTGAGCGATGCCGGCTGGGCCAGATCAATACATTTTTTAAAAATATATATATTTTATTGATTTTTTACAGAGAGGAAGGGAGAGAGAGTCAGAAACATCGATGAGAGAGAAACATCGATCAGCCGCCTCCTGCGCAACCCCCACTGGGGATTTGCCCGCAACCAAGGTACATGCCCCTGACCGGAATCGAACCTGGGACCTTTCAGTCCGCAGGCCGACGCTCTATCCACTGAGCCAAACCGGTTTCAGCAGATCAATACATTTTTAAACAGGTTGTTATTGGTATGTAGGCTTTTATATGTATGGCATATTTGCACCAACTCCTCGTGTTGCCTGTAGGCCATTCTCCTGAGTTTTTGTGGCAGACAATAATATCATCTCTAATAATCACTGAACCTCTTTTCTAGTAGTCATGCTTCGTTTTTCTGTTTTTTATTGCCTTGGGTTTTACTGAGCAGTAGGATACTAAGTGTTAGTTTACAACAGACGTTTCGTATGACATTAAGGAGATGTGTACTTTCCCCTACTATCTCATTAAATTCCCTCTGGCATCTACTGAATTGGTATTATATGTATATTTTTTTTTCTTTTGACCTATTTTCATGTTGATGTTTGGTTTCCCTTCCGTGTGCATCTTCACCGTGGACTTGGTGCAGTGGCCGAGCCTGGCACGCTTCTGAGCAGGGCAGAGCCCCAGGCACATCCCCACCCCAGCGGCTCGGGCGAGGACCTGGGGCTGGGTCTCCCCGCTTGAACGAGGCAAATTTCTTGGGCAGGTGACGTGCATGGCGAATGCTTTCTTTTTCGGCAGTAGGAATGGTCACAAAAGAAAATAAAGCCACAGGCCTGAGATGACAAGCAAACTACTGTCTTAGCAGCCATCCCCAGAGCCAGGTGCCCTGTGCTGGGAGCCCACCTTCCCCTTTACTCCCTGTCCAGATGGCCCCTCCCTCCTCACCCTCCTTCCAGAAACTTCTTTCTGTCCATCCACCCACTGCACGTGCAGCTCATGTCTCTTCCGCCATGTGGAGCTTGCTGTGTACTTTCCTAGCTGGCTCCCTGACTCTGGGCCCCATGCAAGTGCCCCTTGCAGCAACAATCCCCACTAGAGCATGTCCCCCACTCTCACCCCACCTGCCCCGCGTTCTGGGGCCTTCCACATTCTGGGGCCCTCCCGGCCAGGACCACAGCCCTCCGAGCCCTCCCCACTGCCCAGACTGCAGCAGCGGGGCCCCAGGTAGAGACTCTCTCCCTTCACCCCTGCCGCCCCACCGCCCGTGGGATGAGGCAGGACCCAGGAGCTGGCTGGATCTGGGTTCCTTTGCCCAGGTCACCTGCCTGGCCCCTGGCTGGCTGCAGCGACCCCAGTGATCCCCTTATTCCCTCCCACGTGGGTCTCCCAGGGCCCTCTCTCTATGGATCTTGCTTCCTCATAAAATGCTCTACTTGATCGGGGTTTTTTAAAAAACTAGTGGTCCTGTGCACAAATCCATACGTGAGTAGCTTGCCGCTGCCTGTCTCAGCTGGCTGCCCCGCCCAGCGCCACTCATAGTTCTCCACCTCCCATAGCTCGCTGGCCCGCCCTCCTGCTGATTGGTCGTTACAAGTCATGGTGTAATGACCATTTGCATATTACATCTTTATTATACAGGGTACTTGGTTGCTTTCTATTTGTTATTTTATTGAGGATTTTTGTTTCTTCACGAGGGAGGACAGTAATTCTCCTTTGTTAATTTTGTTGGGGTTCCCTTTCCCAGCTTTGAGGAAAGGATCAAAAGACCCTTCATCTTGTCTCCACCTTTGCTCCAGAATCCTGACCCTAGCCTGGGTGCCCCGTTCCATCAAAGGGTCAAAGGTTTGGGACCCGGGTCGGGTAGTGGGCAGGTGGCCCCACGGGGGCTCTTCCCAGGTAATGCTCTAATCCTACTGGCCACGGGGAGGATTCTGGGTAATTGACATTGCCTGGAAAGCCCATGCCTTTCATACAGGTTTCTATGTTTCTCACCTCAACGTTGCCATCTTATTTTCTTAGGGTTTTGAAAGAGCGCCCATCTGCCTGTACCTGTGCCCCGGGCATTGAAGAGACCCCACCCCAGGAGGGAGGGGTCTCGGGGATGCCCAGGCCTGGCTGAGCATCTAGGTGGGGGTGGCAGTGACCCGGCCGAGAAGGAACAGGTGTGGCAGGAAGTGGAGAGAAGACACCCCCACACACTGAGGGTCACTCTCTGGGCCAGCAGAGTGAGGGCCTGGACAGAGGTCCCTGTCCCCTGGCAGGAGGTGGGGGCGCTGGCTGATCCCCCAGGGCGGGCACAGGCAATGTCACCCCCTCCACGGGACTTAAAAAGGACGTCTCCACTGAGCTGACTCAACCAGCCTCAGGCCGGGCCTGGGGCCAGAAGAGCGCTGGGTCCCCCCCAACCCCCCCAACGTGTAAGGTCCGAGTCAGGAGAACAAATGGGACTCATACACCGGATGTGCCACCATTTAAAGGCGACAAGTCCCCCAACTGAGTATCAGACACAATTCTACCTCTAAGTCCTGGAGGGCGTGGCCAGCATGGACTCAGACCCGACCACCCTGGAGTTCTCGATAGAACCTGTGCCTGGAATGAGCTGGTCCCCGGCTATGTGGAGGGTTTGGGGCTACCCCGCAGCCCCCTTCATCCTCACGTCCCCCCTCCACCCACACCACCCACTCACACCACTCACTCACACCTCCCACATCACCCACACCACCCACAAATGGCCACCAAGACACAGGGAAGAGGCGCTGAGGGCCCTGGAGGGGGACAGGAAATTCCCATCTGCAAACACTCGGAGTGTGGTCCGGAAGGGTGGGTGGGCTCGCCCTTAGCCTTGGCCGCCTCCCCACGTGCGAAGGGCTGGGTGGGGGCAGAGCAGGGCCCCGGCCCGGGGAAGTGAGAAGGGTAGCGGCGCACACAGCACACACACACCACAGAAACATGAGTAGCCCTTGGTTTTGTTTATTTTTTAATAAACAAACTTTTTTGCACGTCTGGGCGAGTAGATGGGAAAGCCAAAAGGAGTGCCATTGACATTTTCCACGTTGTTGGGGTTACAAGAAGATAATCACGCCTACTCCTCTCTCAGTTTTGGGGCCGAATTGGTGGTCATGTCGCTGACAGCATCTTAAAGCTTCCCCTTGTGTTTACGTAAACTACACACGACCCCACACACACCGAGGTGCGGTGGGCAGCCGAAGTCCCGACGCTCTCAGCAGAACCGGGCGCCCCCACCAAGGAGGGTAGGCGCCGTTTCTGCGGGGCGTGAGGACCGAGGTGAGGCACTAACCCTGTTCTGATCTCGCTGGACGGGTGAGCTGGGCACTGGAATTTGGGCGGGGCGGCCACATCGGGTGCTGGTAAGAGAGACTTTGTCACGTGGGAAGTGAGATGGTCAGGCTCTCGGGGAGGCGTCTGTTGAGGACTCTCCAATGTTCCCACGGTATGTTACCTGCACTGCGCTTGGCTTCCTGGGGACACCTGGGTGTCCCCTGCCCTCCCAAGACTGCCCCTTGTCCTGCGGGACCTGCAGCGCCCTGCACGCTGCCTTGCACTCGGCAGGTGCTTGGAAACGCTTCCTGATTGAATGAATGGTGGATGGATGGGTGGGTGGACCGATGAGGAGTGGGTCAAGGATAAATGGCGGGACGTCTCTTCCTTGTCACCGGGGACAAGTCTGGAGGTCGAAAAGGTGGCGCAGAGAATTTGATCATGTCAGCCAATCTCAGAATTTCAAGTTTGGGGAGTCTGAGGATCAGAACCGGTAGTGGACTCGATCAAGGTCTCACGTGAGAGAGGCCAGGCAGGTGCTGGACACCCACCCGACACATGCCAACCGTTCTGGGTGTTTTTTTTTGTCTTTTTAAAGTTTTTAAGACACACTCAAAATGAGATGTTGACTCAAATGACGTGTGGGGAGAAGGAAGGACTGGGGGGAGGGGTCATCAGAGATGGGAGGCCTGGAAGCCAGGGGATGGGGGTGAGGGAGGGGAGGGGCAGGAGCACAGCAACAGGAGCCTGGGGGTGGGAGGGGCCTTGGCGGTGGTAACAGGGTTTGGGGTTGAGGGAGAATTGTGGGGAGGCAGGAGAGGAAGGGCAGGTTTCAAATGGGGAGGGGTTTGACGGGGAAGGTGATGGGAGTTTGGGGTGACATCGCCTGTCAGGGACGAGGTGACCAGGGTGGCATCTTGGGGCTAGGATGAGGAGGAACTGGGAGTGGGACATCAGGTTTTGGGGGAAATGACAGGCTTGGAACCAGAATGACAAGGGACTTGGCGGTGGTTGAGTGGGTGGGGGTGACAAGGTTGATGGTTGAGTGATGACGGTGACGCATGTGGTGATCTGAATGACCGTGATGAAGGTGATGATGACTTGGAGCAAGGTAAACACGTCAGTAATACTCAACAAAGCTCAGAGGATTGATTCCTACCCAAATAACTTAAGAAGCAAAATAGTCCTGTCTGGTACCCAAGGACTGTTTAGCTGCCCAACCCGAAGAGCTGGGGAGCTAGACAGAACTCTGTCCCATATCCATTTTTTTTTTTCCCCAACAAAAATAGATGCTCTTCTTAAAAAAGTCAAGTTCATGATTCAGAAACTGGCTAGGTCTTTCAGGATCTGAGCGTTACTAACTCGGCAACACAAATGAACTGCGTAGCCATGTAGGCCAGGCCTGGTACTACTTCGGCCACAGAACTAGAAAACGCCCCACAAGGGACAGGTTCCACTAACCCCTGCGAACACCTAGGGGAGGGCTGTGTTGCTGCTCAGATTTCGCCAGGGGCACTTGCGGTTCACCTGCATTTACATTTTAAGAAATATGGCTAATCTACAGGGGGAAGGGGCGTAGAGTATTGGAGATTTTGGTGGGTGGGGGTTGCCCGAGAGGCAACTCCAAGGCTACATATTGTGACTCAAAGCGGCTAATCGTTCCCAAATGGAAAAGTGAGCCAGGAGGCTCCCCACTTTGAAAACTGCACTTAGGGGTGATTTCAGGATGCCAAGTGGGCATCAGAATAGACCAAAACATGCGGACCCAGGGATGGGACCTAGTCTCCATCCGATCCTCATGGGAGGGTCAGGAGCTGTTTTGGTTCATCCCCCATCGTTCCTAATTCAGGGTTTTAGACGAGAGAGGACCTTGATGGTCACTGTGGTCAAGCCCCTCCCTCAAGAGGGGCGAAATGGTGGGCTTGCTCAGGGTGACGCAGCGAGTTAGTGGCAGGGCTGGGACGAGGTCCCGGCCCCCCAGCAGCCAGCCCGGGTTTTCTCTCTGCCTGACACATGGCCGCTGCACTCTGCAAAATCCTCAACTCCATCACAAAGATCTAAGGACTGCGATGTTGAACTTGAAGTGAGTGCGAGTCGGATGTGGCGTGTGAGAATTCACGAACGAAAGGGGTCTTAGCCCAGGTCACAGTGGTCGGTCATGCAAGAATACGCTACAAGGACCCTGTGGCCGAGGCCCCTCGGGGAGGGACGTCGACACACCGAGTCCTGGTCCACTTGCCTTGTTTTTTTTTTGTCTTTTTTTATTTTATGCTAAAATTTAAAGTTTAGAACGACATGCTACTTATCTTACTCGTTGAAAGATTAAATTCTTATTCTTATTCTTAATCATGCATCGGGAAAGAGGGGGGAGGGTGGCCTTCATCATTGCATTGAGCGCATTGCATTGGTCACACAGTAGTAGCACAAACAATAATACAGCGAAGCGTAGCGCGTTCACCAGGTCTGACACGAGAGCTAGCAAATTTCGCCCACCGAGGTTAGAACCGACCGCATCTGGTGAGCTCTGCGGGGACCCCGAGGATGGAGGGGGCGGGGTAGAAGAGTGGGGGCTCTGCCTAGATCTCGGCTTAGATCTCCTCGTCGCTAGCCTCCTTGAAGGTGGTCATGTCGATCTTGTCGGGGAAGATGATGTTGACGGCCATGTCCTCCCCGCTGTTGTAGCGCAGCAGCAGCTTCTTCTTCTTGTTCAGCATGCGGTTGTAGCGCAGGTTGGCGATCCAGGCCTCACACTTGTTGAGGAAGACGATGCTCAGGGTGCCCAGCACCACCAGACCGGTCAGCACGCCCAGGATGGTGAAGCAGATGGCCTGGCCCTCGGAGAGGAGCGGGGTGTCCTTTTTGACCTCCCTCATGGCCACCTTTAGGATGTGGTGCTCGGGCTGCCCCACGGGCAGCTCGTGCACCCCGGGGGTCACGCGGTAGGCCAGCCCGGGCCCGTTGGGCACACGGGTGCCCTGCTGGGAGCTCGCCGCGCGCTTCTTGCCGCAGAGGGGACCTGTGAACTGGGGCCGGCACCGACACTCGAACCTCACCTGGGAGTGCTGCAGGCAGGTGCCCCCGTTCAGGCACGGTTCGGAGGCACAGTTGGTCACCGAGCGACTGCAGGTTTTGTCCACGAAGCCGGGGGGGCAGCGGCAGCGGAAGTCGCCCCCAATGTCGGTGCAGGTGCCTTGGTTCTCGCACGGGTTGGAGGTACAGCTGTTGACCACGATCTCGCAAAAATTGCCCGAGAAGCCAGGGGGGCACACGCAGGAGGCATACGAGGCCTGGCCATCATCGTCCACGCAGGAGCCGCCGTGCTGGCAGGGGGAACTGCAATACAGAAGGGGACAGGGCAGAGGTCCCCTGGGGGGTGGGCTAGGGCAGTGGTGCTGCGGGCAAATGCTCAGAACGCATGAGGTGAGTGAGTGATGCCAGCCAGGGGGGCTGGGGAGGCGGCGGGCACTGGGACCCCTACCTACAAGGGCCTCTGGTGTTTGAGGCAGCCGCACACCGTGTGGGGTGTGCCCCTCACCCCCACCTGGAGCACTCCGACCTCCCGGATGCCCATCTCTCCTACCAGAGGCCTGCCAGTGAGTCCCTGGACTGGTGGGGGAAACTGAGGCTGAGAGAGGCAAAGTTAGTGATAAGGCAGGGCTAGAGGGAGCCCCCTCCTCGAGCTTGGTCCCTAGGCCCCCCGACGCCGAGCCACACAGGGCGTCCCTGACGGTCTCCCCCGCCCCCCATCACCACCCCATTATTATTTTTACTTTTATTTTCAGCGGAGCGAGCCTGCAGCTCATTGTGCAGAAACCCTTGGGGACTCTCCGAGTGAAAGAAATACGCGGTCTGTCTTTGCGTCCCTGCCGCTGGTTAATAGTGGCTCATTCACCCAAGTGCAGCTTGCAGACCGAAGCTGTTTGCTCCAAGCGGAGCGCACGGAGCATTTAACGTAAGTGCTTCTAAACGAGCGGGCCCTTTGTCATCTGATAAATGCCGAAACTCCAGGGAAGAAAGGGGCGGTGGGCACGAGAAAACCGCGTCACCCCTCGGAGGAGGGCGGCACAGGAGCGGGGCTCTGAAGGAATTTCAAGGACCCCGGGCTGGACTTTGTTAGAGAGAAAAGCAAAATATTTTAAAGGGCTGGCTCTGAATGTTCCCTTCTCTCCGATAAGCTGGCACGGTGTGCGATGTCGCCCCTGCCCTCGGAGTGCTGATCTTTCCATGCCTCACAGGTGCCTGCGTGTGGCACCAGCCAGTCCGCGCCCTCCACACCACCCTGCAATGCCAGGGCAGCCCCTGGGCCAGGGGCTAGGGGTCCCAGGTGGAATTCTCGCTGCTGTCAAGATCTCTCCTAGCCTCCCTTTTAGCCCCCTCCGTGCAGCTATGCACATAAGGGCCAGAGGGGGGGCTGTGGGGAACCCTGCTCAGGGAGGCACAGGACCGACCAGTGGCCATTCTGCCTCGGTGCCCACTGCCCAGGATCCCAGGGCCCCCTCCCCACGCAGGGTAGCTGAGAGGTGGACCCCAGCCCTCCCCTCCCTGTGCTGGCCCACAGCCCCCTCCCCCCTCAGCCAGGCAGCCTCCTCCTCAGACACCCCAGCAAACCCACCTGCAGAGCTGCCCAGCCCCTAAAACCACCCCCTGAAGTAGGTGTGTGGGTTTCACAAAAACAGCCTGGGGCCCTGCGGAACTGATCTCTCCCCCCAACCCCCGCCCCCCAGTCGCCTGTAGAAAATTATGCAGCTCCAAGCTCCGAGCTCCGTCCCAATCTACTGTCATTCACACACGGGACCCGGGGAGGGCAAGGGAATATGAAATCGCCTTCGGGATCATTTGAAGAAATTATGGAAATGACACTTCCTCTGATGGAGGGCGGCCCCCCACAGGGGCTGCAGACTTGCTGGTCTTTTGTCAGGCGCCAGGTCTCACTGGCTGAGGCTGAAAGGGGCTTTAGGGGCGAGAAGGGGGATCAGGGGCCGCATTCATCAGAGCCCAGGTCAGAGCCCAGGTAACGGGAGGAATATTTACCCGTTGACCTCGCAGGGCCCGTCCTTCTTCTGGCAGTTCTCTCCCGAGAAGCCAGGGGCACAGGTGCACTGGTAGTGGCCCTTCTGCATGGTGGTGCACGTGCCGTTGTTAGCGCAGGGGTTCGAGGTGCAAGCCCGCATGTCTGGGGGAGGGGAGAGAACATCAGACCAGGGAGGGGAGGGGGGACAGAGGCAGGAAGACACACCTCCAATTGGTCCAGAGAAGGACCCCAGCTAGGCTGCCTCCATGTCTCTGCCTGTGGCCACTGCCAACCGTCACTGAGTGGGGTCCTGAGGAAGAGGGGTAGTGACCCCCCCAAAAAATATTCCTGAACAGCTTAGGGAGCTGAAGGAGGGTCCTTCTGTTCGGTCACGGGGACAGGAAGTCACAGCTGCTCCCTGCCACTCCACCCAGATCACCTCTCCCCTTTTCTGGGGAACCAAGTCACCCCTCAGTCCAGCATCATCACCTTCATGACAGACACCTTCCTCCCCTAAAAGTGCTCTGAGCTCCCCATGCCTGCCTCCTCCAGGCAGCTTTGCACACCCAGCTCTTCGTGGGGGTTTTTTGTGTGTTTTTTTGGGGGGGTGGCTGCCACTTGGGGGACTAGTACAGCCCAACCGTTAGAAACAGCAGAGGCCCTTTGTGCTGGCTCATCCCCAGGGGCAGGGGGGAAATGGAGATGTGATTTAGCCCAGCCCTGCCTCCTCCTCCAGGTGGTCTCTGCGAGCAGGTTCTGAACTAAGGGGGCCCAAGATTAAAAGGCTGGCTCTTTTGAAGGCAGCAAGATGAGAACTATCGAGCCCTCTCCCGTCAGCGTGCGTTTCCATGAACACGGGTACGTTCCCACCGCCTTTCGACACCTCCCGTCACGCACACTTCATTATCCCGGCTCAGCGAGCCCAGGACGCGCCGAACAAAGGGGCCCGGGTCAGGGGCTCTCAGACAGTGCGGCCCCCAGACCCCCGCCTGCCCGGGAGGGGCCGTCCTGTGCCCACCTCCCGCCAGCTGCGGAGGTCAACCCCTCCCTCCCCGCTCCGTGCCTCACTTTCTCCACGTATAAAAGGAGGGGCTCTCGCTGGTGGGTCTCCGAGGGACCTTTTTTTAGCTTTGATTTTCTACCAAATAGAAAGCCAGAGACACAGCGAGTTAGTTAAGGCAGATGGTGGGGAGGGGTCCGCACATGGACAGATTCCCCCTCTGTTACAAAGACCGCTCCCTGGCGGAGGGGAGATGGCAAGCAATCAATAGAGAAAGGCCTGGACGCCATGCTGATGGCCTATCCCGAGCCCACCAGGCGTTCCTGGGAGCCCAGCTGGGAGCAAGGCAACATAAAGAGGATTTATCATTAGGGAGGGAGGGCGCCAGCACAGCCTGAGCCCGTGAGCCTCGCGGCCGGCTCCTTCCTCGGCCTCTGCTCGGGGCTCGGCGGCCGCCTGGGAGCCTGAAATATAGGCTGAAGGGCAGTGACGACCCGACCTACTCCTGTCCCCTCAGTGTCAAGCCTCCTGAGCAGAGGCCGAGCCCACCTTTGCCCAAGGAGCAGGCTGCCCGTGGGGGAGGGGAGCCGGGCCTACGCAGGGGCAGGGGCAGGGGCAGGGGCAGGGGCAGCAGCTGCACCGCCTGCAACTGACTGACCGTGACAGTGACAGCCTGAAAGACCAGGGGAAAAGGGGAAAAGGGAGAGGGCCCTCCATTACCCGGGGGGGCCGCTTCCCCTGGACCCAGCGTCCTAAGCCGAGAGCCTCTGTCAACCCAGGGAGGAGGGGACCTCGGTCTGGAAACCCTGTGGGGAGCCCTGGGCTAAGATACCCAACTGGGTGGGCTCCAGGCTGACTGCCTAATCCTAGATGGTGATGTCTCTGGGATCCTCTGGTCCCCAGTTAGAGTTCCTGCGAGGGCGCGGTGGGAGGGGCAGCAGAGCTGCAGGCCTGCGCTGAGTCAGCGGCTGATAAAACTGCGCCATAGCGGTTGGGGGGTGGGGGGAGCGTCAAGGACCCAAGACATGGGTGGGGGGTGCTTGTTTTTGAAAACTAGCTGCTCTTCCGTTTCCCTTCAGGGAGGGCATTAGAAAAGGCCCAGGTGAGAATGAGTCCCGAGCAAACCCTGTGGCTTCTCTGAGCCTCAGTTTCCCTATTAGTCTCTGCTAACGTTGGGCACCAGGGCACAGAGGCCCTGCCTAGGCTGTGGGAGTTTTCTCGAGGACTTCCGTCTGCCCAGGTCTCCAGGCAGGTTTTGCCCAATGAGAACGGGCTCAGAGGAACATGTGCGGCCTGAAAACGCAGCCAACTCTCCATCGCTCAGGGTAATGGAGGACAAAGATTGCATAAATTAATGAAATCAATAGATAACACCAATTCATCCTTTAACCTCTTCTCAGCCTTGCCCAGGCCCCCACTCCACCTTAGTTCTTCTGTCCCAACCCCTAGCCCTGACCCCGGGGCCCAGCCTCAGCCCCTACTGCCCCTCCCTCAGCGCTGGTCCTCGCCCCTCCCCTGTTGTTTGCTTGCTTTCGGCTGCTCTTCATAACAGTCTCCAGTGCGGACCTGTTGGAGTTTTCTTGCTGCGTCACACACACATCCCCGTCCTTCCTACTCCCCAAGCGTCAGTGACCCGGGCAGGCCTGTGGTCCCCACCCGCTCAGCTCTGTGTGGTGTGTGCTTACTTTGGGGTTGTTTACTCCACAGGCAGCCCCCCGACACCCGACCCCAGGGCATCCTCTGGGTGCAGGGTGTAGAGGGAGCAAAATCATGTCCCTTACCTGTGAGGAGGCTCCTGCCACCATCCATGGGGAAGTGTGTTCACAGGACATTACCACACAGAGCATTGGGTGCATTAGAATAAGGCGGGAGGGGGAGGACAGGGGTGAGGGTGGGGGAGGGCAGGAGGAGCGCCCACCTATGTCGCAGTAGTGCCCGTCCCAGCCTTCATTGCAAGTGCACTGCCAGGGTTCGTCGCAGAATCCGTGAACACAGCCAGGAAAGGGCATGCACTCGTTACACTGGGGTCCCTGCCAGCCAGGGTGGCACCTGCAGGGGGCGGGGAGAGTGCATTTGAGGGTGGGCAGGGGTGACACATGGGAGCGGGGCTGCTTTCTGTGTACAAGGGCCTTAGGGGTCTCTGCACAGTGCCAGGCCAGTGGGTCCCAGGAAGCACACACCAGTCACCTGAATGGAAAAGCTTCAGCAGAGGGGCCGTCCGAGGAGCAGACAGAGGGGCCCTGGGAGGCCAGAGCGTGCTGCGTGCTGCGTTTTGCTGCAGTGGCCCGCAGAGGTGTG